GGGTCAGGCGCACCTTAGTCCTCAAGCTGACATCTTTGTTCTTCAACACTTTAAAAAGTTCCTGTGCAGCAGATTTGCCTAATGCAATACACATTGTTTGATTTCCTGAATGCTGCTTCCATGAGTGCTACTGGTTGACCCAAGAAGAATGAAGCCTTTACAACTTCAATCTTTTCTTCATTGATACGAATGTTGTTTATTAGCCCAGTGGTGAGGATTTTTGTTTTCTTTACATTGAGATGCAATCCATATCAAAGGCTGGGGTCTTTGATCTTCATCAGTGATGGTGGTGGTGATGGTGATGGTGGTTATGTGCTGTGGAGTCAGTTCCTACTCATAGTGAACATGTACAGGGTTTCCAAGGCTGTAAATCTTTATGGGAGCAGAAACCCTCATCTTTCTCCTGTGGAGCAGCTGGTAGTTTCGACTGCTGACCTTGAGGTTAACAGCTCGATTCATAATCACTATGCTACAGTGACCCTTTATTGGGTTTCTGAAGCTGTAAATCTTTACAGGAGAAGAAAGCTTCATCTTTCTCCTGCAGAGCAGCTGAAGGATTCAAACTGCTGACTTTGCAGTTAGCAACCCAGCTCATAATCCATTAAACTGCCAGGACTCCTTTTATACATACATATTGTTGTTGTTGTTAAGTGCCGTGGAGTCGGTTCCGACTCAGAGCGACCCTGCATAGGGTTTCTGAGGCTGTAAATCTTTACTGGAGCAGAAAGCCTCATCTTTCTCCCACACAACAGCTGGTAGTTTTGAACTGCTGATCGTGAGGTTAGCAGCCTGATTCGTAACCACTGTGTTACCACATGCATATACAAAAACAGTCATACATACATATGTATATAGTAAACTGGAGTGCTGTGGCTCTAAGAATAAGTACTGGACAGCTAGCCACAAGGTCAGTGATTCGAGCTCAGAAGAAGGTAAGGTTTTCTGCTCCTATACAAATCTACAAACTCGGAAACCTTTAAGGTCGCTAGGAGTCAGAAGCTGTGGGTTAATGCACCAGACTGCAAAGCCATTTGAACTGCAAGGTTGGCAGTTCAAGCTCACCAGCTGCTCCTCAGAAACCTTATACAAGGTCGCTATGGGTTGTAATCAACTCAACGGCACTCAACAACAACAACAACCACGGACTGTGGTGCTGTAGGGTAACCACTGGACCTCAAGGTCAGTTAAGAGGCTCAAGTTGGCAGTTTCCAACTCACCAGCCACTTCTCGGAAACTTGACTGCAAGGTTGGTTTGAACTGCGGTCGGTGGTTGAAACACACCAGCCGCTCCTCAGAAACTTCATACAGAGTTGCTTTGACTCAGAACCAATTCAACAGCACTTAAAAGCAACAAACAGGTCATTAGTGTGATGCTGAAGTATAAGCACGGGACTGCAGAGTAAGTTGGCGGTTCAAACCCACCAGCAGCTCCTCAGAAGTCCTATACAGGGTAATTCTGAGCTGCAAACAACTTGATGGCACTTAATAACAACATAGGGTCCCTATGACTAGGAAATGGCTCCATGGAAGTGAGTTTGGATTTGGTTACTGTTACTTTGAAAAAACTGTGAAAGTATCGGTAAGAGTTGAGTAAGCTAAAGCATCAGACTCTCCTTCCTGTAGGTATGCCACATAAAAGTGTCTTCCACACTGCTGTAAATGCTCTACACATATAGTAACTATTTGTTAATACAATGAAAATAAAGGCAAAAGATATATGTAAAAAATTTAAGTCAGGCTAAACGCAAATCTAAGTAAACTTTTCTTCAAAAAAAGGGACAGGCTGAGAAGGGAGGGACTTGATGGCAATAGGGTAGAGGTGCAGTGAAGGTCATCATCAGCAATACCACAGAATACCAGGCAAAACGGGTTCAGGGCAGAGCTCCAAAACTCTGAACCACATAGGTAGGAATATTTAAAAAGTTTGAAGGCTTATTTATAGCTAGTGGAACTTGTAGTGGAAGTAAGAAATCGCATACTTTTTAATCTGCTGGGCTAGTGTGGCCCAGAGCCGACAACTTGGGTGAGACCAAATGGTAAGACCAAGCAAGGGAACAGATCCATCACGGAAAAACGTCAAGGGAACCTCGGAGCTAAGGTGGACAATACACTTTTTCAGTTTTACTTTGTTCTGATTTTATTATTTTTTGTATCTGTTCATTGGCCACGTACTGTTTACGCATCTCCATTCTGGTGACTAGAGGGGGTACCTGAGCGGGTAGACACCTCCACACCTCCACCACTGGTGGGTTCTTCTGTCACGAATGCGCACAGGTACTCTCAACCCAAGAACTGGCCTGAACTGTTTTTTCAATAGGGAAAAGGCCAGAACAAGGGGTGTGGAGAGGGAAAGAGTTTAAAAACAAAACAGGCCGAAAATTAAATTAAATTCTGAGATATAGCATAACAACCAGCAGTGGCATTTTGAAATTTATCAGACGGCCTTGAAGGCAAGAAGCTGAAAGAGGACATTAACATTTTCTTCCCTCTCTCCTCTCTCCCCTTTTTGTGATTATAGATGGCAGTATCCAATCTAGTTTTTTTTGTTGTTGTTATTGTGTGTTGGGTGGGCTTTTATTTTTGGCTGTTGCTTTTTTGCTATTTTATGCTCCCCCTTTTACCATTGGGGGAACTCTTTCTCTCCTTATATTACCCAAGAAGAGACAGCAACTGCTGCCATATACTCAAGCTACAATGACATTCTAGAAAACACCAAAGTCCAGGCAAGAACCAATACCAACTGCTATACACCAGGGAGGCAGACAACACTTGTGAAAGTTACTCTGAGTTAAGCAATAAGAGTGAAAAGGAAAGTGCACATCCTGATCACATCTACCTGGAGGCAATCAGAAAGCATAAAAAATAACAAAACACACACTCAATTAAGTATTAAGGCCACAGATAAACACTAAGCATGTCTAAGAAGCGAAAGCCAATGACCATATCAGCACATGTCCATAAACAAGATAAAATGTCTGAGACAAATGACCTAGAGGTAGACCTGGACTCC